GACATCACGGGCAGTCAGGACACGCCACAGGCTGGAAGTTTCCATCCAAAGCGCTTAGTGACTGTCTGTGAATAATGAACACATTCATGGGAGGCAGCACGGGTTGTGCAGCGCCCTTGAGAGGGGAAAAGTTCTCTTCCAGTCTCACTGATGGTGAAGAATTCAGCTGGACTGGGTTTATAAAGATAATACACTGGAAAGAAAAATAATTTGCTCTGTTCCTCCCGTCTCCAGGGACCCGTTAAAATTTACTGCAGGTTCAGGAAGGAATCCACAAAGTCTTGCTGCACTCAAGTGCTATTTAACTCACATTTTAGGGGCTTTAGTGTTTTCTACCTGCAAGAAAAAGTTTCTCACTGCTATGTCCTTGTCTTTTTCGTGTTCCCTGCCACAGAGGCTACCAAAAAAAGGTTGTTCCCGTGAGATGTTCATGGGACCTCCATCCAGGCACAGGGGCTGGCAGGGACACCCCTCCAAAAAGTCCCCTCTACTTGTCCCTGAAAGCCTCAGCGGGACACAACCCACCGCTGGCTCCTGCTCCTCACCTGCCACTTTTTGAGGGCGGCAGAGCCTGTACAGAGACCTGGCAAACTCTAGAGGGACGAAAGATATCCGAGAGGGAGAATTTGGGTGGCTCCCTGGAAGGTGAGAGGGCCCCCACCTCTCCTAAAAAGGAGCAGGAGAGGAAGGTGTTACACAGAGGTTTAGGGCGGGGGGTGCAATCATCTTCCCGTTGATCTTTATTTTATGGTGTTGTTTGTTCGCTTGTTATTTTGTTGTTTTCTTGTTTTATTATTGCTTCTAAGTAGCTATCCCAACCATTCCACCCCCTCTGCTCCTCTGAAGGAGTCTTGGACACAAAGAAGCAACACTGCTTTCTAGGAACTGGTTTTGCTTTTTGGTGGCTCACAACTAGTTACTGAAGATGCTAATACAGCCTTTGTTTTATTTTATTCAGATACGTAAATATCTGAACAGAACGTGGCTGAAACACTATTTTTAAGTACACACACATATATGTATGTTTATATACGTGGGTTTAAGTGTATAATTATGACTCATAAATATGTATAGTATATTATATAAATGTACACATCAACCAGAGTCAGATATTGGCCAAGAATTCCCTTACCCCCAGGGATGCCTGATCTCTCAGGAAGGTGTCAAGGACTGAGCTATCTGTTCAGTGCGGCTTTTTTTGAAGCGGAGAAGGGAGCATGATGCCCCTGCCCAAAGCACCTCTGCCCGCAGCGCTGGGGATCAACAGCGCCCCGCGAAGATCCGGGCTCCAAAAACCACAGCCCTTAAAAGCAAAGAGGAGCAGAGATTAGGGGTGCGAGCGATAAAGCCTGCCTTTCATTTCGCTCCTATTTTACGACACATGGAGACAGCGAAGGGAGAGCGCGGAGAGACATCAAGCACCAGCAGGGTGATTGCATTCACACTGCAGGAAGCCGCTCCGCTCCGTGCGGGAGGCGGCCGGGCAGCGGCGGCAGTGGCCGGCCAGCGCCGTGACCCCCCTAGAGGCTCTTGTCACACTCACATACGCGTTTTCGGCCCCAAATATAGCCCTCCGTCTGCTAATTCCCCACGGACCCTGGCCCCAAATCCCCACTTCTCTCTGCCCTCTGCGTGGCAGCCGCTGTCGAGCTCAGGAGCCGTCGGAGATGGTGACGGGGGGATACCCCACTGGCACCCCACGCCATGGGGCCATCCTAGACCACTGGTGGGCACGAACTGGGAGGCAGGACTGTTCAGCCGGACTGTTCTCCCCACTGGCAGCGGGGTCGGGGTCACAGCCCGCGGCGGTCCCGCACCTCGCGGACCTGCACTGGACCTGGAAGCCTCCGACGCCTCGGAGAAAAACACGTACCTGGGAAAGAAAGTGAGCCAAGGATGGGAGAAAATAAGAGGCCCCAACACCTCTAGTCTAAACCCGGTCTCAAAGCCAACTCTGTAGAAAACACGTGGTTCTTTCTCCCTCCTGACCCACGGGAGGCATCAGGACCTGCCCAGGAAAGTCCCTCCATTCTCCCACATGCAAAACATAAAGATTCTGTGCCGCAAAGAGGTGGCCGTGGAAGAGAAGGCAGTGGGGAAGGAGAGGTTTCGCTTCGCCGTGGTCACTCTGAACCCCGGCGGAGACGGCCCGGGAGCTGCGGCACGGTCCCTGCCCGGCGCGGGGACAGCCCGGGGTGATGGCAAAGCCCTCGGCACAAGGGAACCCGTCCGGCCCCGCTGCCTCCGGGTAGGGGACTCCGAAAGGTGTAAGGACAGCTGCCAAGGATGCTTTTCTAATGTTTAATTAAGAAAATACCGTCATTGCGTGCTTTTTCTGCTTCCTACCCTGATGGATGGCTGCAGGAGACACACGCCCTTTTTATTCTCATCATCCTATTAAGCAGTAAGGATAGAAAGCCTGAAATGTTAGTAATGTCACTATAGCAATGCAAAAAGTGTGTAAACATAGCTACGAGCTTTAAAAAATCCCCAATAAACACGGACATGCATGTACAAGTGTTGTATTTGCAGGTATGGAATTATACTCATCCTGATTTTGTGTTTCAGGAATACATCTGAGTATACACGAGTTTCACAAGCACATTTCAGCATTATTGCACACCAGCTATATGTTATACCAGAGAAATATGGGAGGGGGGTGGGGAGAGCAAGAGCAAATTTAATCGTGGTGATTTTGTTAAAGTCTTTATAAGTGGAAAGCAGAAAATATTACATAGATTGCATGGTCACACTGCAGAAACGCTTTATAAAATATGGGTATGAGACACAAGCATATCTTTTGTAGATATGCAGATTGCATATGTTATGTACAGAAGCAATCACAGGCCACGTTTTTTTCTTTATTCTGGAAAGCACATATTTTCTGAGTCTGGCAGTCAAATAGAGCTGACGGTTTATGGATGCATAAGAACTATCGGCTAAACGCGTATTTCCTACATAGGAACAAGCAAAATGTGCAAAGCATAAAAGTCATCTTTATTAACTTCACTTCTGTGCAACAAGTGACAAATGCTCTATCTCCCGGCTTACAATTCACTAGACTGTCCTCGGTCTCTGCCCAAGTAAGAGATAATTCCCACTTTTCCAGAATCCATTTAAGAGCTCGGAATGTTTGCATCTTTCTGGAGCCGTTGAAAGGGGAATTATTCCCTTATCTTCATTTTTTGGAGTTTTTTTTTTTTTAAGTGTTCTTTCAAAAATAGGCCCTGACCTCTAAGGTCCCCACTGTCACTCCGGGAAAGGAGCGAGAGCGCTCCGTGGCGGGGAGGCCGGCTCGGCCCCCGGCTGCGCCCCTGGCCCGCCGGACACTCCCGCTGGGCAGCAAGCGGTGCCCCCGTTCCACAGCGGGAGGGGGAGGCGGGGCCTGGGAAAAAGATACTCGTACAGGAATACCGCAAAGGGGAACAAGGAGGGGTCCTCCGGCAGAGAAGAAGAGCAGGGGAGGAGAGGCTTGGCCAGCAGATGCGCATCGCAGGGGCATCTCTGTACTCACCAAACCTCCACGAGTCTCCGACGTGCGCTCCGGACCGAGTTGCCCCTCTACTAATCTGGCTCGCCTGGTCCCAAGGGAAAAGGCAGAGGGTGACCCTCCTGCTCCGGCGCCCCGCAGCCAGGGAGACTTTGGTGGGGTTGCCGGGGTCCATGTCCCAAGGCTCTCTCCAGAGGCTGGCAAAAAGGGGGCGGGGGGAACGACTTTAGAGCTTCCCACGAAATGGTATTACAGTAAGATGATAAAAGTCGGACTGAAGAGAAGTAACGCCAGGAAACATGAGCCAGCTCCTGGAGGGGGCAGCGCATCGCCTCTGCCTCCCCGCCTGGGGCGCGGGGAACGGGGAGTCCCGGACGGCCTCCGATGAGCCGGGCTGGGTGTCTCTCAAAATAAACTACACAGACACCGTAAGGACATCAATAAAATATATCTGTATAGGTATATACACATATATAAGGTAAGTAGAACGGACCTCGGGAGACCCCTTAGAGGAGAGTCCTCTCCTCTTTCCTAGCAGGCACTGTCCCCTCCACCGGCAGGACACCCACTGCCTGCTCATGGGAGCAGTCGCCCCTCCGCCACTCTCCCAAAACCGACTCAAATGCCTCAACCAGGGGGCTCCGGGCTGAGGACAACCTCACCGCTCCCCCGATTGCCCGCGGCGGCGGCGGCTGAGCCCGCGGGGCCGGAGCCGGCTCTCCGGGCGGCGGAGGGCGCATCTCCTCCGTCCATCGCCGCCGCCGCCACATGAAAGCGCTCGGCGGGGGGTGGGCGGGGGTTATTATTATTAATGATATTAATGATATTAATATAGGCGTGATGTCCACGGCGCCGATTGGCTGTCAGAGCTGCCCGCTGAGCCCGCTGCAGCCAATGGAAGGCTCGGGATGTGGAGCGGCCAAGCCCCCCCGGCTGCGGCCCGTGTGCCGGGGCCGCCGCCGCCGCCCCCCCGCACCGGGATTTGCTCCCTAATTGACCTAAATAAGGAGCTCGTGAACGGCGGCCCCGGGGCGGCGCGCACGCACAGGGACACACAGACACACACGCGGACACACGGACACACACACGGACACACACACGGACACACGCACACGCCCGGCAGCGCCCGGCGCCCGCCGCTTTCCCCGCGCAGATCCCATTCGGCGCGGCGCTCCGCCCACCGCAGGATCCCCCGCTCCTGCCCGCCGTTTAACTCGCATGACATTTTTATTTCGTTATTAGCGTTTTCGCGCAGAATCTGGCGCCTCCGATGGGTTGTCGGGCTGCCTTTTTTTTTTTTTCCTTCCCCGTTCCCTTCCCCTCCTCCCCCTCCCCCCTCCCCTCCTAGCTTGCAGGAAATGATGGCAAACCGCGATCTGAAATGATTACTCCGGAAAAAAACGCTTTTATACCAGGAGAGCATCCACGGGGCTAGGCAGAGGCGAGAGGCGGCCGCGGGGCAGCGGGGAGCCGAGGAGCCAGCCGCCCGCGGAGCCGGGACCCCCTCCCGCAGTTCTCTCCGACTATGCCGGACGAAGCCACGGAAAACGCCGGCTCCACCTCCGCCCGCGTCTCGTCCTTCTTCATCGAGGACCTGCTGGGCACCGAGGGCACGGCGGGTCGCGCTGCGGGCCGCACTCCCCGCTGCGCATCGGCGCCCCGGGCTGCCCCCTCCGCGACGCCGCCGTCGGCTGGTACCGCCGGGCACACGCCGCCTTCCTGGGCTGCGCCAGCCCCGACAGTAAGTCGCCTTTCCCCACCCTTCACCGCCGGGCCCGGCCGGGGCCGGGGCTGGGGCTGGGGGTGTTCCTGCTCCCCCCGGGGTGGGGGGGTCCGGGTCCCGCCGCGGCCCCCCGGAGCAGGCCGGAGGGGGATGCACGGAGTGCCCCCGCAGCCCCCGCCCTGCCTCCCCGTTTTCGGCCGCTCGGGGCAAATCTCCGGAAATGCTCCCTATGTGTCAGGCACCTGGAGCCTCCGCCCCGCCGCCCAAAGTGTAAACAGGGATTCTGGCTTGCTTGGGATTTTTTTTTCCTTTCCTTTTCCCTCCCCCATATCTTTTTTCTTTTTCTCTTTTCTCTCCTTTTATTTATTAATTTTTTTTTTAAGAGGCAGGGCTGGCTTTTTTTTTTTTTTTTTTTTTTTTTAACATACCAGCATTTAAGGGGGGTTTGTTTTTTTTTTTTTTTTTTTTTTTTTTTTTTTTTTTTTTTTTTTTTGACTCCCTATCAAGCCGGAAAGCTGGGAGCACCGTCCCTCAGCAGCGCAGAGGAGACTTTGGGAAGCCGGGGGAGCAGGAACACCCCCAGCCTGGGCTCAGTCCCGGCCGCCCCTTCCTGCAGAGCCAGCCCCGCTGCCCTCCGCCCGCAGCTCGGCCTCTCGCTGCAGGGATCCCAGTGGAGGGGGTGTTGGAGCAGAAGCCGGGGTTCGGGGCAGGAATTAACATATGGCAGAGTGAATGGGCTGCCATTAGTGGTTACTTTCTATCTCCTGATAGAAAAACATTGTGCCTCGGCGCGTCTCTGTGACCGTATTCGAGCCTGCAGAAATGTCATGATTGCTCAATAAGGAAAAGAGGCGTGATTTGTAATCCAAATAGTTTCTTTTTAAATTAATGGATTTATTAATATTTTTCATTTCTCTCAGAAGTACATATAGAGGCAGCAAAGTACTCCAGAAACAATTGCGCTTTTTTTTTTTTTTTTTTTAATTCTATAAAAAGTAGGAAATATTTTTTCCCTTTTAAAATTGTAGTTCGAATGCACAGTGTTGGAGACTCCATGGAGGTATGTCCCGATACTGGAATAGTTGTCCCCATCCATTAGCTTTTTGAAGTCCAGAATATTGTGGATTATTTCTTTTTTGTCCCTCTCTATATACACACGGACGCACTATTATACTTACCCTTCCGATACAATATACTTACTCACAAATGTACTTTTAAGTATGTACATGTGCATGCGTGTGTAAATACAGACGTGTATATAAATAAGAGGTCACGCGTATTCCTGTGTGTGCATACATATTTAAAAATTACATACGTACTTCTGTGCATATCCACGTGTGTGTTTACACGGGTGCGTTTTATTATCTGAAAACAGCCCATGTGTGTGTTATGTGCATGCACAGGGGTGCGTGTGTGTGTGTGCACGCATACGCAGATCCACGAGCGTGTCCTTAGATCAGTATATTTATATATATGAAATATGTGTTTCCATATAGGCACGGGTGCACGTGTGCGTATGCACTCAGAAATATTTGGGAGTTTATCGGAGCAGGCAGAGAAGCGGCAGGAGCCTTCCCCGGGCCCCTCGCTGCCCGGCCTTGCTCTCCCCCCATCCGCGCTGGTTTCCCCTCCCGATGAGCGGGGCGCGGGGCGGGCGGGCTGCGCGGTGCCCCTGCTCCCTCCGTGCCTGCAGCAGCCCTCTGCCTCTCTTTGCAGCCAGCGACCGGGACTCTCCCGAGCTGCCCGAGGAGCCGGCGGAGCGGGCGGGCGGCGGGCGGGCGGCGGCCAGAGGCCCGGCGGGCGGGCGGCCGGGGCCGGGCGGCCGCGAGGAGGAGGAGGAGCGCGGCGAGGAGCCGGGAGAGCCGGAGCAACGCGCCGCCGGCCGCAAGAAGAAGACGCGCACGGTGTTCAGCCGCAGCCAGGTGTTCCAGCTGGAGTCCACCTTCGACGTGAAGCGCTACCTGAGCAGCTCCGAGCGGGCCGGGCTGGCCGCCTCGCTGCACCTCACCGAGACCCAGGTGAAGATCTGGTTCCAGAACCGCCGCAACAAGTGGAAGCGGCAGCTGGCCGCAGACCTGGAAGCGGCCAACCTCTCCCACGCCGCCCAAAGGATAGTGCGGGTCCCCATTTTGTACCACGAGAACTCGCCGGCGAGCGCCTTGGGCTTCACCCTGCCGCACATGTCGCCCCCCTTGGTGGGCTTCTCCAGCGGCGTCAGCTACCCCCTGGGCACCTTCCCCGCCGCCTCCCTCCCTTTCCTACGGTCGCAGATGACAGGACTCGTCTGAGCGCGCACCTCTGCCGGGACAGCGGCCCCCTCGCCCCCTCCCTCGGCTTCCAGCTCCACCCCCCTTCCTACACGGACTTTTTATTTTCAATTTACAATTTTCTTGATTTTCTGCTTTTTGATTTTTTATTTTTTTTTTAACGTGCAATAAACTTACTCTTGGGGTTAACTCGGAGCGTCGTGCGGCAGCCCGGAGAGAGCCGAAAGGACTTGAAAGACCCCAGCCATGCGCAGGGATCGGGTCGGCGGGGCTCCCGCCGCGCATCCAAAGAAAATCCAGCCCCGTGGCAGCGGCTAAACCCTCACCGCCGCCCCGGCCCCGGGCTGACGCAGACCGGCGTTTTTCCGGGGGGGAACAGACTTCCCCGACCCTTCTTCCTGCAACCCGCGGAGCTGCCGGGCGTGACACGAATGTACGGAGCAGCCGGCGCTTCCCGGCCGCGCCGCCCCCAGCCCAGGGGCGGCCGAGCCTCGGGGCCCCGCCGCGGCCAAGAGACCTTCCCGGGACCTCTGGTGGCCCGGGCAGCGCTCCTGCCGGGGAAACCTTTAAGCCTCCCCGCTGCCCCAGCAGCTTTCCGTGCAGAGCGGGGGACCCTGCTGATCCCGGCCTCCAGCAGCTTCTCCAGGGCCATTTGTTTTAGCCACTTAACCCGTACATATCCCCCTCCCACCGTAATTCTCATTTCCATACTACCGACACCCAAGCATGTGCTGGTGCCCCCGGTCCTTCTCGATGCAGAAGTTTTGATTTGAAACAACTTGAAGGCAAAGTGTTGGAAAGAATTCGCCCTGCTGAAATCCGAGCTGTGAGGATTTGGTTTCTTTGTTTTCGTTTTATGTCCCTGGCAAATTATCGGCTAAAATACACGGTTTTATATATACACATATATATGTAATTCTTCATACGGTATTTTACAAGTGGATTTGCCACTTTTTTTAGTCTCCTGAAGAGGTTGGGGAAAGCGCACCTCACTTGTCCGTCTCTTACGGGATCGGTTTGTGTAATCGATTAATAATTCACTGGCAATTAAAAAGGAAGGAAAGAAAAATAATCAGATGGGAACAGACTGGGGAGCTGTATGTCTGATTATGCAAGCGAACCTGTAACATGATATTATATGAAGTATTATGCATGCCAAGTTATTGTTTTTCTTTAATAACTGTTTTGTTTCCCCCCTCCTACCCACTCCTAAAATGAATTTCTGGACTATCATTATTTCTAAAAGTTTCAATTTCTTTTTTCAAATCTTGAGGGGGAAATGACCTTATGAAACTCGGCCTTGGTGGAAAGTCAAGCTTTGATCGTACGTTCCAGGGCATAATCAGCTGCAATCGAACCAACCAGCTCGGAGCACTCGGTGTCCCTGCAGGCAGGGCCAGGTCCTGGATCTGTTGGGGAATGTGCATGCGGACCTGTATCCTGTGAAGGAAGGGCGATTTAATTCTTACTCTTTCCTACGCTTTTCATTATAACTGAAGCAATATTTTTCTGGTTATGAAATCGATCAACAAGATGTGGTGGAGCTTCAGCTTTGATATAAAACCCTAGAAGAAAGGTCAGGGGTGGATTATAACCTTGAAACAATTTTGGACTTTCTCCCTTTTTTCTTTTCTTTTCCTTTTTTTTTTTTTTTTTTTTTTTTTTTTTTTTCCCTTTTTTTTTTTTTTTTTTTTTTTTTTTTTTTTTTTTTTTTTTTTTTTTTTTTTTTTCCCTTTCCTCTGCTTTGGCCTGAAATATGGCTTTGAGCACCAGCCTGCACAGTTGAAGTCAGGATGTTGCAAGCCTCAAAACCACTCGAGAATTGCGCATATATATATATCCATATATGTATAGATATATATATATTTATAGGTTCCTGAGAAAAGTACTAAATTGCTGGGGTACTGGCTTCAACGTAAGCCCCGTTTATGGAAGCTGTTTTGTTTTGAAGTGGTTCTTTTTATTATTATTATTATTATTATTATTATTATTATTAGTTTTCTTCTCATATTTTTTTTTATCTTTTTTCCCCCCTTTTTTCTTTTTCTTTTTTCTTTTTCAAACTGATGCTGATCTCACCCTGAAATCTCCGGACATATTCGCCAGCCGTTTTCTTGGCATATCTGTCAAACACTCGAATTTGAGATGGAAACTTCTAAAGCCTGGTCCCCGAGCTGTGTAGGAAGGACCGGGAAGAGGCGAAGTTGGGGACGTCGGTGCCTCGGCCGCGGGGAAAGCGGCTGGGCTGGACTTCAGCCTTTTCGTGCCAGAGGAGGTGACTTGGGGCGATGTTTCTTCCTCAGGGCTCAAGCACTTGATTTTGATGCCGCTCAAAGCCTGACTGCCCCTGGAAGAGAGCGGCTAAACCGTTCTTCCCGTCATATCCAGCTCCCCAGATCTCCCAGTGTTACCTACTGGAGTAAAATCCTGACTCACTACAGTCATATCAGAGTAGATTGTAATCCAACCAGAAATTTAACATGCCTGCCACTCTCCACATGCCTTTTCTTTGGAGTAACATATGAGATTATTATACTTCTGATTTTACTAAATATTCTTTCCTTGAAGTTGAGGAACTGGCAGGGCTAAATGATCAATTGGATTTTTAAAATGTGTTTTGACATTAGTATGTTTGTTTTTTAAAGATGTGCTGATTATATCAATAAACAGATTTTTTTCATACACTGTATTTGTAACTTATGATCATGGTAAAATATTAAAAGGTGCAAGACGTGAAGTCATCTAAGAAAAAGTGCTTACTTATGCCTTATTCTGTACATGCAGAAACTGATTTATAGTGGCTTATTAAAAGTATGTGCTGAAAGTAGGAACATATACACCTCAGGTTTCTTTAACTTGTAGCTTTTGTAATTATACTTCCCCCTGTATCTGATGGCAAGAAATTTCTGCTGGGTGCAGAGAAGTACTTCGCACCAGATGCAGTCCCTGAGGTATGTGCATTGACTATTTCAAAATAGGTAAAACCTAAAATCCTCACACCCGAACACCCAAGCCCATCCCTCAAATAAGGACAGCAAATTTCTCACAGTTTTCTTCCTTGTGTGTATTTTTTTTTAATTAAACAAATAAAAAGGGTAAGAGTCACACACTTTGTGCTGTTCCTGCAAACAGAAAGCTCTAAGAAAAATGTTGATGGACTGTAAAGCTCAAAGTACTTTTGCAAAGGCTGTTTATGACATATAGAGACATACGTTGCTGCTTTATAGATCAAAGCAACCTCAGAATAGCTTTAAAATAAATCCAGTTATACTACAGCTGTAATATTATTATGCAGCATAAATCCTTGTCTGTTGACATTTATTTAATGAATGTTGCTACAACAGCTTAGCTAGATGGCACTCCAGAGGCGAGGCAAAGGAGAACCTTGCCAGATTACTCACAAAGACAACTTGTGTTTATTGGACGCTAATAAAAATAATCAGTGAAAAGATCTTTTTTTTTTTTTTTAAAGTGAAGCAAACGACAATCAAAATAGAGTCTGAACTGCCCTTTTGAAATAAATTCCTCGTATAGCTGCAGTAAGACATTATTAATTACACTTTAAATGAAAATGATCGATACTCTGGAAAGCACCTTGTTAAATGGCTACTTTGCAAATGGTACATTGCTCACCGGTTTAAGATGGCCCATAACTTTTCTCGTAGGCACGAGTCTAAAATATTCATGCAAATCAATACTTGATAAGTCTCATAGGTGCGTGCTGGCTCCACTGTTCAACAATATATTTGGATCGATTTTTTTTTTTCCCCCTTTGCCACTGCATTATCTTGGAATAGTCTGTCTGTGCCCCCTGCCAGTGTGCCCCGCGCTCACCATCGATCCGAGAGAGACGCTCCAGACTCCAGCGGACCCGCAGTGTTCAGTGCTGTCAGCCTCAAATTAGATCCAGGCAATATTCCTACATTTCCCTTCCTATTCCAGATAAATGTAACTTTATGGTGGATGTCTTAATACTTCCTTTAACTATCCTGAGTTTCTCAGCTCTGCTTACGATTTAATTTCTATGTAGTTAGATACATGAAGGTATATTCAAAAGATATAAATAAAAATTTAGATGTCCACCTAAAATTTAAACTTTTCTTTTCTTTTCTTTTCTTTTCTTTTCTTTTCTTTTCTTTTCTTTTCTTTTCTTTTCTTTTCTTTCTTTTCTGTTCTTTTTTCCTTTTTTTCTTTTCTTTTTTCTCATCTTCCCTTTCCCTTTCCCTTCCCCCTTCCTCTTAGCAATTCCAGCCTCCTAAACAGCTGGATATTTCTAGCTTTATTCAGCATCCCTCTTCAGATTTTTCTGCAGGTATCAAGCACAGTGTTTGGAGGAAGGCGATTTAGCAGAGGACTCTGAATTGACCTCAGAGGGAAACAGCATTTCGAAAAGGGATGCTCTGTCCCTGGGCACAGGGACAGATCTGCCCGTGCCCCGACATCTCCTGGGCCGGAGCATCCTCTGGCCGTGCCCAGCTCCGCAGAAAAGCCTGTGGCTGTGCGATGCCTGTAGCTGCCTTCCTGGGAACTCCTGGGAGAGTTGTTTTCCCTCTAGTGATGCTGTTTTGTCTGCCCTCCCTCCCCCCGGGATGCCCGGCGCGGGCAAGGGATGTCCCCGCTGCCCCGAACCTCTGCCTGCTCCACGGGGGAGCAGCGGGGCCCTGCCGGGGTGATGGGAGACACAACAGAAACCCGCAATCCACGTCCAGCCACTGCTGAACTGCTAAAGAGAGTTTTATTTAGCGACCAGCAGCGCCAAAATGCCCGAGCTCGCCTCGTGATTTTAATGAGCTTTTCGGACAGCGCTTCTGTTCAAGGCGCACTCGCCAGGGCTGTGTCCCGGGAGAGCATCGGAGATGGTTTAAGGAGCGCTGCGAGGTGCCGCTGTGTCCGCAGTCGCCAGGGTCTTACTTGCAAGGGGATGTGAAATCCAGGGAGGGACTTTTACCCTCTAGTACCTCGGGGGATAAACCAAACTCGATTCTGTAAACCAAGCAAAACCATACTCTGGCGTTTCTGTA